TGTATGGCGGCGCTGGTTGACCTAGACCACGAGGCATACACTGGGGAATTGGTGGGGTCGGCTACTCAGCGACAAACAGCATTTGTAGGGGAGAAATCCACTACAATACTCCCCCTTCCCTCCAGGCGGTGTAGGAGACTTGGTGTCTGCAGGGTTGCAGAGCACCTGTGAGGCAGAACGGGCGGTGCATGCCTCATGTGAGACAACGGCGATGGCGTGGATGAGTCGGTCGCTGGACACAACTGTCTAGATACACAATATCTGAGGGAGTAAAGAGGGAGAAAAAGGGTGTGTGGAGGCGATGAATTTTGTTCTTCCCTCACGGCAGGTACAGAGTCGTCAGATGCGCCTGCTGGGGTGTGTGGGCCTGGGTCAGGAGCAAGGGCTGTGTCAGCAGAAGCGGATGAGGGCTCGTGACAGCAGCTGGGTCCACGACAGTAGCAGGGAGTACCTGAGGGAGAAAAGAGGGGTGTGTGGGTCCGCACTCAGAAGCAGGGGCCGCGTCAGGAGAAGCAGGGGGTACTGCTGGGCCGGGGCGGCGTCTGAGGCAGGATGGGTGTGTTGGGGTCGGTAGGACGTGGTGCTTGGGGCAGGAAGAGGAACGGCTGTCTGTTTAGAGTCGCAGAGCTGCTCTAGGGTGTCTAACCTGCGGTGTAGAGACAGTAGTTGTAGAGCCGATGAGAGCTGCTTCTGTGTGGATAAGCCAGTCTTCCATGTTACTTGAAGACTGGGGGAGTGATCGGTTTCTCCTCCATCCTGTATTAGTGCGAATCTCCGGGAGTCACCATTTGTGGGGATGAGATTGTTTGGTTCACACTCAGGATGGGATGGAGAAAGGAAACTCACGATGTGCTCTCTGTATACATTTTGCATTGGATGTACAATGCAGCTTGGTGCTGGGAAGGCAGCATGGTTACAAGCGTGATGTAGAGAGAGCTGGTTGGTGACGGTGCTCAGAGGAGGACCAGCCTGTGGGTCGCCATGCTCGCCGGCGGGAGCGAGGACCGCCAGGCAGGCGGAGGAGGAGGAGGTGTTGCTGGCTGGTTGGTGTAGGTAGAAAGAGACAGGTCACCACGAGGTCAGGTCTTAAATAGAGGGATGTAGGCGTGGCTTAGTAGTTGACCCCCGCTCCGTGGTGTATGGCGGCGCTGGTTGACCTAGACCACGAGGCATACACTGGGAAATTGGTGGGGTCGGCTACTCAGCGACAAATAGCGTTTGTAGGGAAGAAATCCACTACAACCCCGCTCGGCACCAGACGTCTTAGATTAATGGCGTGTCATCCACATACTTATTGCATAACATTCTGTGACCTCCTTACCTCGGTCATTCCTTCTTACACTACCCTTAACACACCAGACTGCTCCACCTGTATGGAGTATAGCACCGTCGGTTATCATACATAGTAGCACCATCTCAACACACCTGTTACACTCCACACCTGCAGGTATGGGACTCCTTGTAATTTTTAGGTATACATAACAGGCGCCTCGTTCGCACACCGTCCTCGGTGGGTAAAGACGAGGGCTTCACCAAGAGACATACCAGTACTATTTCTACGCCTGGTATTATAGGTCGCTCCAAGTGACGACCGCGGAGTTTCTCACGGTCTCCTTATGTGTTACTACTCCTTTGGGGTGGTGTGCTGGAAATCCACAGGTTCACAGTGGATTGGCATAGCTGGGAGTAGTCACCACCTAGTGGGACGCTCACAGTGATAATGGCCGCTGCGCAGCAAGGCACTCCGACAGCATGGGACCTGAGGTGACGGTAGAACGGAGGGTACTGAGAAATAATGCCTGCCGGGCGGTTATCACACACCCTAACACATTACTATTACACTTATACATCAGGCAAAGCTTTAAACTGTAATAACTTCTATATAAGCATTAATTATAGGGCGGGATATAGCCGGATAGGACACTGACCTGAGGTGACGGTAGAACGGAGGGTACTGAGGGCAGTGCCCCACCGCTCGTCACAGCATAGGCCTAAAGTTTCTCATCTTTAATTTTTACTTTTATTTCTTACGGTTCTCACCTGAACACTTTCCGGCATATTGTCACTCATGCCTTATAAACACACATTTTAATCCTAAATTACACACTAAGGTAAGGTTCTGGTTTGCTAGTTCGTGGGTAAATTCATTGGGTTATAATATCAACGCGGCACACTCGAGGCGGGTACAGGGCGCTCCCTAAAACAAAGGCCGAATGTTCATGGCGTGGGTATATCCACTTCACTTAAAACTGTAATTAGGGATCCTCCTCTCACACATTTCACTATTTGAACACAGACATAAGATTCTCTGATCACTGTACATGTCGTGGGTATATGTCACGTGAGGATACGAGGTGTATTAAGTTCACACCGACGCATACAAGATATTTCCTTTCAAGTATAGTTTCTGGGTCACTTCCAACACCTCACATAGTTCTGATACATTTATCCTTTTTCCAAATCATTGTTCTCATGTATTTTCCTATATCTGTGGAAAGTTATGCTCGCTACACGTTCACAGACGTAAATAGTATGACCTTCAAACCATGATCCACACTTAGTCCTACAGTACACTAGTCCGGCTTAACTGGACTTTCCCATTCATCTTATGGATACCCTGAGTTCGCCTTAATGCTATGAATACATACAATTAATATTATATAACCGTACCTGGGTACAACAGAATACATGATTCAGTAACATTGAGTAGGTGAGTTATCCTTCATCAATGTTTCCCGATTTCTGAGATTCTACAAGCGCGGTGGATTTGAATGTTATGTAGCGTAATATGAATTAAATGGGTTTTCAGGAATGTTAATGATGTGCGCAGTACACTACAAACGCCGTTTGTCGCTGAGTAGCCGACCCTTTTCGAGTTCCCCAGCCTACGCCTCCAGCGCCGCCTGACGGAGCGGGGTCAACTATCAACCCACGCCTACCCCTGCCTTATAAGACCTCACCCCGCTGTGACCACCCTTTTTCTACCTACGGCCACCAGCAAGCAACACCTCCTCCTCCCAGTGCCGGATTTAGACCTGTGGAGGCCCATGGGCAGCCTCTTTGTGGAGGCCCCCCTCATTATAATTACCCAAGAGGGTGGGGTGGCGAGTGAAGCGAGCCTAAACATCTGGGAGTTCCGGGGGGCGCTGTAAGACCCCCCCCCCCTGGGAAAAGTTTGAAATTTGAACACTTCTTTGGAGAATTTTGAAGCCATATGCAGTTATATTGAGGAAATTAGAACATTGAGAAATTTTTAATTAATTGTATATTTATTGATAGTGTACAAATTCCCAACGCACACACACACAAAAGTGAGACATGACTGGAGTCATTCATGTGGTTTCAAGTCGACCAGCCCTGATATAGCTACTACCGCACATGTGGAGGCCCCCAGATTGTGGAGGCCCCTGGGCAGCTGCCCACTTTGCCCACTCCTGAATCCGGCCCTGCCTCCTCCGCTCCAGCCTGGCGGCTCCCGCTCCCGCCGGCAACCTTGGTGTCCCTCAAGCTGCGTGCCCTCTTCTGGGCACCCTCACCAACCAGCTCTCTCTACTCAACGCTTGTAACCCTGCTGCCTACCCAGCACCAAGCTGTATTGTACATCCAATACAATATGTATACAGAGAGCACATTGTGAGTTTCCTTTCTCCAACCCATCCTGAGTGTGAACCAATATCTCATAACACCACAGGTTATCCTTGGTCGAACCCACTTCCTGTTTACTATTGTTTAATCCTCTTCGCCACTACAGTACTGTTCCAGCTCATAATATTTAGTTTAATATTTAACTGTAACTTTACTTTATTTTACTTCATTCTCTTTGCCTCTGATCGGCCTGTTAGCTTCTTGGACGGTTAGTTACGTGGGGGCATGCACTCATGAGGGTCCGCTGGCATTGTCATCGATAAGTGTTACCGTTTTTACTTTTATCCTCTTCGCTTCTGATCGGCTCCATAGCCGCTTGGGCGGTCGATCACGTGAACTGGCTCCTGAAGATATTGGAACCTGCTCCAGTGTTGGTCAAGTCTGGCCATGAAAGAGCTCACACTTGGTGTCATCACAACACTGACAGATTGTATCAGATAATATCATGCCAAATTTAGCACTATTTGGGGGATTTCCAGTTATTTAGCATAAAATATGGTATTTCGAAAAAAAAATGCAAATTTGTAGCGCAAAATGAAGACTTTTGGCAGTATACTGGGTGTGGGAGGGAGGGAGGACTTCTAGTAGTAAATTAGTAATGTACCAGAGTGAGTTGCTAATAATAATGTGCTAGTGTGTTGATAGTAGTAATGGACCTATGGGCAAGTTTCTTTGTGTCATTTGCCCTTGTCTTCCCAGCAGTAATTGGGAGCCTGGATGTTAATAGATTTGCGGACCGTGTTCCGGGGTAATGGTTGGCCAGTGCAGTTGGCGAGTTGTCCGGTCTTCTCGGACTATTCCTTGACCTTTGACACTGGGTCATGCAACTCGTTAACTCGGGGTGTGGTTGCTATATTCGCGACAGGCAAGCATGAACTACGCTTGCTTCCCAGATGGACGCTGTAAACGCTTCTGCGTTTCACCTTGCACTGGGTGTAAGGGGGTGCCCAATAAACTAGCCCCCTCGGGGGTTATCTATAATCTATAATCCTCTACACCTTAAACAAATTCACGCCTAGGTTCCTCTTGGGCCGGCCATCTTCGTTGCACGAGGGGCAACCATTATTATTATTAATGTACCTGTGTGTTGCTAGTAATAATGTACCTGTGTGCTGCTAGTAATAATGTACCAGGATGTTGCAGGTAATAATGTACCAGTGTTGCCAGTAGCAATGTACCAGGGTGTTGCTAGTAATAATGTACCAGAATGTGTTGCGAGTAGTAATTTACCAGTGTGTACAAGTAGTAATGTACCAGTGATACATGTAATAATGTACCAGTGTGTGTTGTTAGTAATACTGTACCAGTGTGTGTTGTTAGTAATACTGTACCAGTGTGTGTTGCTAGCAGTCAAGCACCGTCATCTGATTACTGGAACATTAAATTAAAGTAACAGCGCGCGTCGTGATTCCGTGGTCATGAGTCAGTCAGTACGAGACGGTTATCGTTGGAGGTGGGAGGAATTTGAGCGAGTTACTGTACAATATCCGACCGTCTACGATACTATATACGTCAACGAACAAAACGCATAAGATAGAGTCTAGATAATGTGAAGTGTTTATTTTTTCATGTGTTGTGATTTTGCATAAGTTTACATAGTATTAATACTACGCAACGTGGTGCCTTCTCTGGTGTGTTACTTCGCTATATTAAGGTTTGTTACTTATGTATACCTCTGTGTTGTTACTTATATACCTGTGTTACTTATATAACTGTGTGAAGTTACTTAAATACCTGTGTGTAGGAAATATGAAGTTTTATAATTATATACATTTAAACCAGATGCTGAACAAATTCCATTACTTGTACAAATACATTTTATTGGTATGTTTACATTAAAACACAATAATAACACAAACTAACACCAACAGTAAACAAGAATAAAATCACATTCAAAATATTTACCAAAAGAATATGTACCTTTTTTGCGGTTTGTAGTAATAGTAATAATATAAATTTTCCTTTTATTTCAGCTCTAATTAAGTGAAGTGGGAAAGAGTGAGTGTAAGCGAGAGAGTGAGGGAGTGGGAACGAGAAAGGGAGGAGTGGGAGCGAGAAGGATTGAGGAAGTGGGAGGGAGAGAGATGGCTGCTCGAGTGTTACTGAAGGAAGGATCCATCGCCGTGTTCCTACTAGTCATCCTAGGCATGTGAGTATACGGTAAACTAACTGTACATCACACCACGCCACGCTCAACCTGCTGTGTCATTGATAGAGTAACGGCCCTGGGTGTTGGACCATATCCTCCCTTGGGTCTTATAGCCTATATATATCTATATATTTTTAATGTGAGCAAAAAGGAAATGGCAATTAACATACGTCTCCCTAAAATGTTAAATAGGACCAACATAATCCCTAAAATATTAGAGGACCAACATAATCCCTAAAATGTTAAACAAGATCACGTAATCCTTAAAATGTTATATAGCGGACCACGTTCTTTGAATTTATTTTGAGAATCAACTGAAGAATTACCACCACCCCAGCTTATTTCACTTGAAGATAAACCACCCTAACACTTCAGGTGAAATAAGCTGGGGTGGAGATTCTTCAGGTGATCCTATTTTGCTAAGTATTTCCGCAACAGACAGGTGGACAAATGAACTACATTAATTACTTTTGACAGAATGGTGTTGGAACATCAGTATGGTCAGGTAAGATCATACCTCTCCTCCAACTCCAACACTCCTAACGTCGTCACCACCAGCAGCAACGGTAAGCGAGACCGTATTAGTGTTGGCGGTTTTTGCTTTCGTGCCAACCACCAGTAATTAGACGAGCTTACGGTCGAATAATGTGTACAATGTGTATTGATGAAATTGAAACTCAAATAGAATAAAAATGTTATAGATAAGTACGTATACAAAGCCACTCTTGATAGATTGGTGCATAGGTCAGGACTACTAGGCTAAACACTATACTGTACTGTACTGTTGATGTTCACCACAGACAGGGTGGGTGAGGCGAGGGCGGCCATTCAGTCTTGTCGCATTGAATCTCTTCAGGACATCAAACAGTTCTTTGGTTATTTTGACCAGGACAAATATAAATGTTTAAATAAGGTACGATACTTTATTTTATTTTACTTTGCTTTGGATTTCTTTAGTTTACTGTGGTTTACTTTACTTTTAGTTTACATTACCTTAGTTTAGTTTACAATGAAATGACTTCACGAGCGTGGAGTTTCCCGTTCCAGTGGCATGTACAGTATACCTCACTTAAGGTACCCTAGCTCCGAGGTCTTCAACAATGGTATCAAACCTATTTCTGGCGCGTGTTGCACATATCTTCAACGCTGAGAGTCTGTCCTACTCTAACCTTACTATGTGTTGCAAATACCCTCTATCTTCAACGCTGAGTGTCTCTCCTACCCTAACCTTACTATGTGTTGCAAATATCTTCAATTCTGACTGTGTCTGTCCTACCTTAATCATACGATGTATTGCAATATCTTAAACTTTAAGCGTGTTTCAGAAAAGTTTCGGCGGGACGGAAAGTTATGGACTGAATAGGCTGATCAAGTTCACGGATGGCTACAAGTACGTGTGTCTCGACCCAGGCGTGGCTCCTCCCCCCTCACACTGTCTCGTTTACTCCTTCGGCATCAATTACGAGTGGTCCTTCGACGACGCCATGGGTGTCTATGGGTGTGAGGTAGGTGGAGGGTCCTATGCTTCTGCTGGGTGTTTTATTTGGGATGAGCGAAGGAGAGGGGAGGGGGATAGGATCATTCAATGTATATATTGTCTTAAATAACTGTACAATATTTTAATGTACAGTCCCAGAAGAAAGTTCTTGATACAATAATATTAAAGTGAAGGGTACAACGTTCGCCCCACCCTTACTGTATAAGAGCGGGCAACACAAGCTGCCACCCTTGAAGGACTTGGCACTCTTATAACAACTTTTGCGTTAATACTCTGACCTGGTAGCGTGACGTGAGAGGAAGGCCCATGGGTACCACATAGAAGGGTACTACCTTTTTCACAAGGACAGGGTATACTGCCAGACTGGGGTCACTAATTCTAAGGGGGAATACTTAACTCTAATCTTAATTTCTAAGGGTCACTGCCACCAGACCCCCCTCTGGACAGCATGTAACTCGTTAGGTAGCGGGCAGAGTGGACTAGACATTGGGTTAGGTTTTTCATTGACCAGCTAGATAAGAGGAAAGAAGGGTGAAACCACCACATGTCTTAGTTCTTTCAATTATTCTTTCTACTTACTACAGTTCATTTTGGTAGCATGTTGGTGGTCTAGGCACAAGGGTATGGTAATTCTGGTATCAAGTCGCTTAGGCGGAAATAAAGGTAAAATACTGTGGGAGAAATAAATACACCTAAAATACTCTAAGAACAAATTTATTAATATGAAATCAAAGGAAAAAAAGAGATATTATTCGCGTAGCTACCAGGTTCAACTCCTGAGCTTATTGTAGACTCAGTACTTTCTTTACTTATTTTCTTAGTTATTTCTTAGTTACTTATTTTCTTATTTCTTTACTCAACAGTAATTACTCAGATCTTACACTCTTACTGCACACAACCTTACTGGTGTTACATTACATACATAGCAGGACCAGTTCCTTGGCACTACTCACAATACATAGTACATGGCACTCCTTGTACATAACTGTACTTCTCACACCTACTGGTGGTACGTGGCATTACAGTACAGATACAAGACTTTACTCAACATACACGTTAATACTGAAACTAGCAGATACAGGGGTCCACTACCCAACATGGGATAATTATTTCCAACTAATTATCCCTAACATACATCTTACAACACTCTCTGTTGACATATACTTCCAGGGTGCGTCCCAGGGTAGAACACTGAGATTCACGACTGTTGTTATGGTCGGTGGTGGCCAGACACATGGCGAGTCTGGGGTCTGGCACCACGAGGCAGTGGAGCATACTAATCAGGCCGCATCGGTGCCATCGTTTCATATATGGTCCCTGCTGGGTTTCTACTACATCCGGGGCAGTTGTTGAGTGATGCAAGAATCACAATGGGATCTGGGGAAACATGTAGCGGCGTCAGGGGACGGACTGGGAAGCATGACAACACAACAAATCTCTGGTCTAGACGACAGACGTATTTACATTATATTACTTCTCACACTGGGTGAATGACAATTCAACTGTTAAAGCATGAACACTGATGAACACTGATATTCACTACAATTGACTGAATCAAACTGAATGGCTACACATAAACATACCTGGGGAAACATGTAGCGGCGTCAGGAGACGCTCGCCCTGCGTGATGCGCGGGTATATATATCCCTGAGTTGCCAGCGATCGCTACTCACGCAATGACAGGAATTACAAACAATCTAACTGTTACTCATTCAAGGATGACCCTCAGTTGACAAAGGTCTGGCGAATTACTAAAGTTGATTTACACAGACTAATTCAAGATTGCGTTTGCCAGTAGAGAGTGGAATAAACGTAGTGACAACTGTGTTTGAAGGCGGGACTTACTGGGAGTGATCCTGAGGGTAAAACGGATGGGAAAAACAAGTCTCTCCTGAGATTCTACAAGCTCTGTGGATTTGAATGTTATGTAGCGTAATATGACTTAAAGTGGGTTTTTAGGAATGACAATGATGTGCGCAGTACAAGGGAAGGTAGGAAGGGGGAAGGGGTCGCACTCTTTGTCAAGGATTCATTAAAATATTGTATTAATAATTCAATAAAGGGTGAAATAGGAACCGAGTCTGTATGGGTAGAAATCACGGAAGGAAGATAAAAACTAATTATGGGAGTGATTTACAGGCCCCCAAGTCTTGGGAAAGAAGCAGCTCAGCCCATATGGCAGGAAATGAGTAGGGCACCAAATATAACAACCTGTGACTGGGACAACATTGTAAGTGACTATGAATCTGAAGACTTCCTAGACGCAGTACAGAACCTACTAGAGGTGACAATATATTAGACCTAGTATTAACAAATAAAGAAAATATTATCAGAGATATCACAGTAGGGGAAGAACTAGGTAGCAGTGATCACAGAGAAATCAGGTTCAACCTAAATTGGGAAACGAAAAACAATGACAATACGGTCAGAGTCCCAAACTTTCGGTTGGCGGATTATCAGGGGTTAAGAAGGTACCTAGGTGAGGTCACCTGGGAACACTCACGTCAGTCCCCAGGAGGAAGGGGTGAGGTCATAGATGACACAACAATTGATCATGACTATAATATATTCACTAGTATACTACATAAAGCACAAGAACAAAATATACCATACAGAAAAATTAGGTCAAATAAGAATGAGCCAAGGTGGATGACCAGAAAACTTAAACATGACATAGGAATAAAGAAAGGAATTTATAAGAAATTAAAGGGAGGGGAGGAGCAGCTCAGAAATGGGTATAATGAACTATCTAGGAATGTTAAGAAAAATGTAAGGAAAGCAAAGAGAGACTATGAAATCAGAATAGCAAGAGAATCCAAGGCGAATTCCAAGGGATTTTTCCAGGTATATAAAACAAAGGCCAAGGACAAAGTTGGGGCTTTAAAGTCAGGGAGGGGGGAAGTGATAAATGGCAGTGCAGAAATAAGCAAAGCATTGAACGGCTACTTCTTATCAGTTTTCACAGAAGAAATTCGCGAGGAAATTCCAGAGATGGAACTGATATTTAGAGGAAAGGAAGAAGAGAAATTAAAGAATATCACTATCAGAGAAGAGGATGTTCTTAAGAGGATAAATAAACTAAAGAAGACTAAATCCCCAGGGCCAGATGAAATTTTCCCTCGAGTCTTGAAAGAGTGTAGGGAATAGATTAGCGGATCCCTCGTAAATTTATTTACAAAATCATTAGACACGGGAGTTGTGCCAGACTTGTGGAAACAGGCAAATGTAGTTCCCATATTCAAAAAGGGAGACAGAGCATCAGCGTCAAATTACCGGCCGATCAGTTTGACGTCAGTAGTGGGAAATTTCTTGAATCAATTATAGCAGATAGCATTCGATCGCATATAGAGAAAAGCAAATTAATCTATGACTCTCAACATGGGTTTACAAAGGGAAAATCTTGTCTAACAAATCTGCTGACTTTTTTTAGTAAAGTCTTCGAGGTAGTAGATAATGACGAAAATTACGATGTTATTTACTTAGACTTTAGCAAAGCATTTGACAGAGTACCGCATCAGAGGCTTCTGAGAAAAGTTAAGTACAGTTGTACCCAGCTTAACGCGGTTTTACTTAACTCGATTTCTCATATACGCGGTGCCTCGCCAGAACCGAACTTTCACTTAACGCTGTTCATCTACTCATATACGCAGGAAGCGGCGTGGGCACGATGCGCACAAGGTCGCCCAGTCATCAAAACATTACCGAGTTCTTCACCCGCCACCCACCACAGCCGGCCCAAGTCAATGATAGTGATAATTATAGTGAGGATATGGACTTATATGGATTTTGAGGGGTTTGACAAAGAGGCCCTGCAAGCCTCTGTGGTGGATAGTGATACAATTGATACAAGTGATACAGGTGAGGGCCAATAATCTGCCCTCTGCCTCGGAACCAACCCCCCATCCCCGTGTGCCCAGCCATCTTTTCTACTAATGTAAGTGTTAAAAACCTAATATTATTGATATTTCTCTTAATTATTAATTGTGTGTGCATACCATCATAAAGTTAAGATAATATTTTTACTACAACATAGTTGTGTGTCGTCAAAAAGTGGAGTTTGGGGGTCGGGCCAGTCTCTATTGGAATTAATCCCATATGTTCTGTTGTTCACTTAACGAGGTTTTCACTTAACGCGGTACCCTGTGGGTTCAATTGACCGCGTTAAGCAGGGTACAACTGTATTGAGGGGAAAGTTTTAAATTGGATAAAATCATGGCTCACCGATAGAACGCAGAGGGTCAGCGTGGATGGTGTTAAATCTGAGTGGGGCTGTGTAACCAGTGGGGTTCCCCAGGGGTCAGTACTAGGCCCACTCTTGTTCATAATCTACATTAACGATCTAGATACTGGGATCAGCAGTGACAAAAGCAAGTTTGCGGATGACACCAAAATAGGGCGGCAGATTAATTCAGGGCAGGATGCAAATGCACTACAGGAGGATCTAAATAAACTGCAGGGGTGGTCGGAAAAATGGCAAATGAAATTCAACACCAGCAAGTGCAGCATACTTAATATTGGAAGAACGAATACTGTCAATGTATACAGCCTTAACAACAACAACGTTAATGTTCGAAATAAGGCAGACAGAGTATTGGGTATTATTTCTAGAAGTGTAAGTAATAAGAGTGCAGAGGTCCTATTGCAACTATATCTTGCGCTAGTCAGGCCGCACCTCGATTATGCGGTTCAGTTCTGGTGCCCTTATTATAGAATGGATATTAATTCGCTAGAGTCGGTACAGCGAAGAATGACGAAAATGATTCCGGGACTTAGAAACCTGCCATATCAGGATAGGTTAAAGAAACTAAACTTGCATTCCCTAGAAAGACGAAGAGTGCGAGGAGATTTGATAGAAGTATTTAAGTGGGTGAAAGGAATCAATAAAGGGGATATAGACAAAGTTCTTATAATATCCGAGCAGGATAGGACTCGGAGCAACGGATTTAAGTTGGATAAGTTTAGGTTTAGGAGGGAGATAGGAAGGAACTGGTTCACAAATAGGGTGGTGGACGAGTGGAACAAGCTTAGCAACTTTGCAGTAAGTGCTGGAACGCTGGAAAGTTTCAAAAGAAGGCTGGATAGATTCATGGATGATAGAGTGTGGTAGTAACTCTCGACAGGAGCTGCCATGCGCAGGCCAACCGGCCTATTGCAGACTCCTTATTTTCTTATGTTCTATGTAATTATAGTATCAAGCATTAGGAAGAGAACAACGGTGAGTACTATAGGTGAATAATAGACCCAACATACAAATACAATATTTATTCAGACACTAAAATGGATGCAGGAAAAAGTTATATGCACCAAAATAAGAACTGCTGGTACCCTGCCCTCAGGCTCAATTTACTCACACCACGACTGGATGAACATACACAATAACATACATAAACTCTTGCAACACCTAAGCACCATTAAAACCAGTGGTAACTGCCAGCACAACACTCAACACCCCAGGAGTAATACTCAAGCGGCCGCCATGGGAGTCTCAACACCATGTGGCACCTCCCAACAACTCTGATGATTCCGGTGGAATAACACCACCACACCAATAGCCCTACTGAGCTGTGCACTCATCCCCCAATGATGGGGGCTGGTAGTTTGTGGCTTGGTGATCCGGGGGTCACCATGTGGGCCGAGCGTTAGGGTCAGACTGGCCAGCTATGGGGCCCATAGGTGGTAGTGGAGCTTCTGACGGTCGGGACTCACGGAGATTACCAATTCTACTGGACCTCAGACATCTCCCCAGACTAGTGGATGCAACATCCACACTACAGACACGGCCTAGGCTGCGATAGGGACCTGTGGGTGACGAACGTGGGGGCTTACTGACTGTTGATAACGACATCACGTTTCAAAGGGACGTTAAGGACGTAAACAATACTTCACTCAAAGCACATCAACTACGTTACTGTAAAACTTGCACAATCCAACTATTAATTTGGTCAAATCACTTAAAATGGCGAATTACAACACGGAGGCTTACTGACCATTTGAAAAAGGCAACCGTCACTCTCTCTCCAGACTAGGTCACCGATTCCACCTATTTCTCTGTATTACGTTACTGTACACTCTGACGTTTGAAACTGAGACTACAAACTCAGTTTCATTCCCTAAGATTCTCTTCACAAACAATGCTCTGACTGAGCTATCAAAGGCAAGAATTAAATTGATCACAAAAGGACGTGGATGGTAATCCCAGTGGGCAAGTTCCAACACGCAGCCTTACTACAAACACGAAGACGCTGGTCTTAAGTTCCTATCAGGAAAATTAACTAATTCCATAGTTAACCTCCCTACAACAATTTCACTATGATTATCAGGGTCTCTGATATTCATAGGTGAAAAAGGGGTTTACAGGGTCTCGGTAGATGCAAGAGTTTACAGACTACGACATCTCGATGACGTCATCAAAGAAACAGAAAACGGAGGACGTTTCCACTGGGGGACTCAAACGGTTTTGTGGACGTGTAAGCGTAATATGAATCCTTAGGTTTAACAGGCTAGCCGTCATTACGATCATGACAACTGGACGGCGGGTCCGCTGTCCGGCCATCTCTCCACCCCTGCCCCGCAACACACAAACAAGCACCCAATGAGTTCAACAATTGAGTTGACAGTGACATCCTTATCCAGTCCTTATTGAGAAATAGAAGTATCAGAGCTCGATTGTTGAACTGCTGGGTGTTTGATTGTGTGTTGGGGGCTTTAATTTTTTTGCTAGATCTTGAAAATTTTATCCTACCCTTGAAAGTTTGAAATAAATTTTGAAAACCTCGCATATATTGAAAAACTTTATAAATATATATTTGTATTAATTTCTGTTTTTATATTTACTTATATATGACAATGTTTTGGGCACTTAATTTGTTAAATAATTTGGCACACCTGGGCCCATGAACCGCCAATTTCGCAACTCTAAGCAACGTGAATATCTCTCATTATATATTTTTTAAGAATTTTTAAAATTTTTTTTTTAGTTTCTGTGTCAAATAAAGATTTAAAACGTTTATAAATTACACGTCTGCCCTCTCTTAGAAAAGGTCGTTTTTTTTTAGACCGGTGAAACATCTGTCAGGGCAGGGCTGGACTGGCAGAAGTGACAGACTGAGTCACGTGTACCTGCCCTCCCTCCCTCCACTCACCCTGGTCACTTACACGATAAAACTGGACTGGTTTTATAATTGCCTCAAGTCCGATATAACAAATTACTACAGTACAATAAGTTTACTTGTTTAAATATTAAACAAAATGTCTGCTTCGATTTACTCAGTTAGAACTTTAGTATCGTCTCAAACCGCCCAAAGAATAGATTTCGTTTTCTTTTGTAATAATGAATACCGAGTGGTCTATTTTCATTTGATTTTCAATTATTTCCTGTATACTTTATACATTTTTTACAGTTTGTATAATTGTATTGATTATAATTAAAATAAGTGTAATTGGATATAATTTTCTCACCTTTGTGACCTTGACTGTATCAAGAATTTTCGTCCGGGACTTTACCATACAGGTGTTCTCGTTCGACCCCACCATGGCCATGAAGGACCACCAGCGCTCTCCCAAGGTCAACTTCCTTCATCTGGGTCTCAGTAACATCACAGGCAGACAGACCATCGGTAGCAGGAAGTGTGAGGTCAGCTGATACCCTTTCTCTTGTGTGTGTGAATTTTCAGTCGCCTTTCATTAATTGCAGCATAAACGCTTCAAATGTCTTTCTTTCTCTCTCTACTCTCTTACCGTCACGTCCTCCACCAGGTAGATCGTCTGGGAGGCATCAAGGATCGCCTGGGCCACGCTGGGAGGAGGATCGACGTCCTCAAGATGGACATAGAGAAGATGGAGGTGGAGGTGCTGGAGGAGGTACTGAGCCACCAGCCAGAGCTCCTCACCTCCGTTACACAATTTGCTATAGAGATCCACCCAGGAGCCTACAAAGGTAATTAGCAGGATGGTGGTGATGATGTGACACTCGTACAGGTAGATTAGGGAAGGAGGTCATATACCGTACTGGACAGAAGAGAAGAGTTGAGTTAGGTATAGGTTAGGTTAGGTAAGATTTATTTCTCTCAAAATAGGTAATTAATGACATTTCATAACCATAGACTACGCTGGAAATATCAACACATAAACAGACACATAAACACACACACACACAGACATAAACACACAAACACCTCTGACATGTGCCTTTCTGTAGATTAAGTCATCTTACTCAAACATTAAGTAATCGTATTCAAGCATTAAGTCATCGTACTCAAGCATTAAATCATCGTACTCAAGCATTAAATCATCGTACTCAAGCATTAAATCATCGTACTCAAGCATTAAATCATCGTACTCAAGCATTAAATCATCGTACTCAAGCATTAAGTCATCGTACTCAAGCATTAAGTCATCGTACCCAAGCATTAAGTCATCGTACTCAAGCATTAAGTCATCGTACTCCAGGGATTCGGAAAGATTACGCTACCACAGAATTGGTTGGATAAGATTAGGCTTGAGTAGGTTAAATAAGTTTATATTTTTTGCACATCACGCCGATAATTGCCCACTACCACTTGGTGTCTGTCTTATACCATATTCTTTTATCCGTGACAGGCCAAAACCTCAGCGATCCCACCAACATCTTCCAACGGTTCTGGCGGATCTTCCAACAGCTTAAATGTCTAGGCTTCCTCCTCCTTCACTGGAACTACAATCCAGCCGTCTCGAACCGCTACTGGTGGCAGGGTTCACGCCAGTCCACCTGCTATGAGATCGTATGGCTCAGGCCCCCTGCTTAATATGCCCCCCCCCCTCATTAGTAAAACAATAGTAGGGGTGTGGTTCAGGCCCCCCCATTAGTAAACAATAAGCTAAATGTATTAGACATCCACATTAAGAGGTTTCAATTTTTTTCACCCAGAGACAATCAAATCATCTACGAAGAAATTGTGTGAAATCATACATAGCGTTTATGAAGGTAACTGTTAACATCATAAACAAAGTTATTCGCTATTTGTTTTGTATACAACATGAACACTGGAAAAATATTATATTATATGAATAAAAATTCCTCTAAGATTACACTGCCCTGCATAGTTTTTGAGGTTTGTGTATTATTAAGCTTTTCTGGGTGTATTTTGCATGCTGATCTCAAAAATGTTATCCATATTGCTCAATCAGGTCAGAATTTTGTGCTATAGCATTTTAAGCGGAGATTCAGGTAAAATATTGGCATTTTTCGCTCAAAATGGGGTCCTCATATTCGTTCATTAAAAAAAATCATCCGAGACATTGGCAAGCCTCACAGAAAAGATTTCGGTCAGTTTTAATGCCCTTATGATGCATTTAAATACACCCACGTGCTCGCCGGCCATTTAAATGTCCGCCGTGACGCAAAGGAAAATAGTATATGTCCGTGTTTTTTTACATATATTTTTTCACAATTAAATTTCTTTTTCATCTGGTGGTACATGGCATGTTTCCTCTGTCTGTGGGATAGTCGAGCAGACAAGCAGCACTACATGCAACGTGACTGGCCTGCAAGAAGTGGACTTACTCCAGGTTCTCACAATGTTGTTGCCCATTAATTATTATTGTTGTTTTGGTGTATCCCTGCTTTTTGGACGTGGATTAATGAAGATGTTTGCACCTCACATCTAGTTCAAGCTAATCAAGTGTCTTCATCCTCTTGGAACTTGTAATACAGTACATTACCATATTATTGAGGCGACCAAGGTAACATTATTGCCAACCCCGAAGTAGGTGTAGAAATTTAGTGATATCTCATGTGTGATATGGTCACTACTTTTCCAAGGTTGGGATTCTAATCATTCATATATAAATTTCATAAAAGCCTTTACATGGGTCCTCCTGGCTGCTACTGTAGAACAAGCATACTGGTATAATTCCAGTACTGTGGTAGCAGAAGCTTTACAGTGCCTAACACGGGATGCGGAGTTCATGCTTGCCTTCTTTAACTTGTACAATTTACTATATTAGAAGAAACAGGATAATATATATATATATATTGTTACGAGTTGGGGATTTAGAATATAGTTATACGTCTACCCAGATCCCAACAGGTAACAACAACAACAAAAAACAGACAATCGGACTATAAAAGGGTAGACAAAGGATGCGAGTTTTCGTTGTATATAATAGAGTACCATAAATCCCTAACAAAATATTCAGCTTATAAATTACCCTTAACCAAACTTAACCTAAACATTAACAGTATATACATATTAATACAACATAAACAATCTTGAAGCAAGTGGACGTGGGGGAGTTAATACAAAATACAAGTACTTAAGTGAAGAGCTGAGATGGCTGACGAGTAAGGCTGAGTATTGTAGAAGACGGTAGGTAGTCACTGCACGTAGGTTTAGAGCATAGATGATCCTGTGGTCACTTCCCAGAGCCAAGTGCTCTTTCCTCGAATTGGAGCTGACAAAGAAGACTTTGAGGAGGTGACGCAACAACCAGGATAGGGAGAAGGGAAACCTCGGAGTGGTAACTAAGACGAGTCATACTCGTGTCTCGTCCCTAGATGGCGTTGCTCGTGGTGCTGGGTAGGTAGATCAGGACAATAGATGGCGTGGTTCGTAGTGCTGGGTGGAAGGGTTCGTAACAATATATATATATATATATATATATATATATATATATATATATATATATATATATATATATATATATATATATATATATATATATATTGACATTCAGGAACATAATTTATACAGGGAAACTAACTGTGCTTATGTGTATATTATAGGCTACATGTAATATTTTTACAGGAAGATATAGACTGTAGGTCCCCGAGAAACTGTGTAAGTGGCGAGGGACCGGAGAGACCACGATGACAACCGAGGGACGGAGAGACCACGATGACGACGAGGGTGCGGTGGGGACAACGATGACGACGAGGGTGCGGTGGGGACAACGATGACGACGAGGGTGCGATGGGAACAATGTAGAGTAGACGGTGAGCAAACTGAGTATACGTGACAGGAAGAGCTGCTCCAAGATGGGTTGAGAAGGGAAGGTTTGTGAGACTCCATCATAAGCTACCGGATGATGATGATGATGCACTAGTCCTTGTACTTGAGTGACAGAGTAAAATATGACAACTCACAGCATTGTCGACACTCCACTCAACTTGGACACCGAGTGACTCACGTTCTCTGAATATTTTATTATATAACGCGAATTAAGATTTCTATAAATTAGTCTGCGTGCGAAGTACAGTACAGGGAGGTATATCGCAACCAGTATCATTATCATGTTGAATTAATCCACACATATTAATACCCTTGAAAGGACAGCGACATGGAAACACACTTCCTCGGAGTCTAAGGTTTTCGCCAAGGCTTTCGACAGTGTACCCCACGAAAGGCTGAAAATCAAACTGGAAGGGTACGGAATTCGGGGGAATGTCCTAGCGTGGATAGAAGACTTTCTAAATGACCGCAAGCAGTGTGTGGTGATTAATGGCACGAAATCGTCATCTGTACCTGTAACAAGTGGAGTACCACAGGCAGTGTATTGGGCCCGCTGTTGTTTGTTTGTTTCATAAATGACATGCCTGACGTTGTACACTCCTCCATACAAATGTTTGCCGATGACGCCAAGTTATTTCGGGAAATTAAGAACCAAACGGACTGTGAAGAGCAGCAGAAGGACCTCTGTGGGCTCCAGGAAAGGTCGAAGAAATGGCTGCTGAGATTCAATGTCACGAAGTGTAAGAGGATGCACCTGGGGCGTACCAACGGTAAGGAGGCGTATCATATGTCCCAACGGGATGAAGAAACTGCACTAGTTGAGACTGTGTGTGAGAAGGACCTAGGTGTGTATGTTGACAATGAGCTGAAGTTCTCGGGCCATTGTGAGAAGAAGGTAAATCAGGCAAATAAATTATTGGGTCTTATAAGAAGGTCGTTCAGATATCTAGACGGTCCGTCCCTCGTAACGATCTTCAGGAGTGAAGTGCTTCCCCATCTGGAGTATTGTCACCCCATCTGGTCCCCGAGATATGCTAGGGACTGTCAGTTGGTTGAAAATGTTCAAAGGAGGGCCACCAGACTGGTGCCTGCACTTCGGCACCTCAGCTACCCTGAGAGATTGGAGCGCCTGAACTTGCCTAGCTTATACTACAGACGGGCAAGGGGGGACCTAGTTGAGGTGTATAAGCATCTCAGGGGGCACTACTGAGTTGAGTGTCCTTACTTGGAGCTGGCGGACGCTCGCTCCACAAGGGGTCACAGCTCAAGATTGAAGAAGCCGCAAGTCCAGAAAACCGTGAGGGCAAACTTTTTCGGAGTGAGGGTTGTAAACTCTTGGAACAATCTACAAGAGAGTGTTGTGACGGCACCGAGTGTGAGCTCTTTCAAGACAAGACTTGACCAACACTGGAGAGGGTTCGGGTACATTCAGGAGCCGGTGCATGCCCAGTATTCGCCAACAGTGTGTGACAGAGACGTGACCGATCGCCCGGGCGGCTAGCGAGCCGATCTTTTGGTGAAGAATATAAATGAAAAGAGACGTGACCGATCGCCCAAGCGGCTAACAAGCCGATCAGTGGCGAAGAGGATAAAAGTAAAGTAAAAGTAAGGTGTGTAAGCCATTTGAAAAAGGTAGAAGAATGTTGAAGATATGTTATTTAGTAGTGTAATACCTGACAGCACCTCAATATGACCTTCGTGAAAAAATTCCAACGTTAAT